GATGTTGGACTGTAATTCCCATCATCCCTAACCATTGGCTAGGCTGGCTGGGACTGAAGGGAGTTGCCATGCAACACCATCTGAAGCTCACATTATCCATGTTTGTTGTACATGAAGGTAAGTCAGTTGATTTCATGGCGCATAATCATTGGTTCTTACAGTTTTACTTTAAGGCAGAGGCAAGTTACATACACATAAAAGCAGGAAATTAAGCTAATCAGATCAGTTTATCATATGCACAGGCTTTTGCTTTGATCCTTCTGGTAGCAACAGCAAATAAAGTTCTTTGATCAGTTACATAAAGATCTCTATCTACAACTTGTTTCACATTCACTCAGCCAAAGTTCTGTATAACCTTCATCTTCACAAAGGTACAAGTAATCCTTTCCTGGGTCTGGCATACCATTCATGGAAGAATATGTTTCACACACATCGAAATAAGGAATCTTGTGCATATGTTTTATCCAGATGGAAGGGATAGTCTAGAAAAGTAATTCCATAAAAGTTTTGCTCAGAGTGGATCAAGTAACTGAAATGAGAGGGAAATTATTCACCATTATATGGACTTCATTAAGCACAGTGGAAATGCTAGCTTGCATTTCTTGTACAAGGCACAGTGTAACTACTTTTTCAAAGTAAAGTCAGAAGATCACAACCTTTTGTTTCAGTTTCAGTGCTGAACTGAACTATTTTTTCTGTTCTCCTAGCTGCCAAAATGGTGTATTATTTGGATCCAACTAGTCAGAAAAGGGCTGTGGAGCTGGCAACTTGCCTTGACGTATCCCTCACAAACAGAAATCTTCAGGTAAATGTGTGTGATATACAGTATTATTATTTTGGCACCAAGTACATCTTTTCCAAATGATAGAGCAGTCTCATGTGTTAAAATTCCTGCAGCTAGTGGTGCAAATAACATTTATTGCCACCTTTTCATAGTATGCTAATTGCATAATCCTATTGCACTAGCATACGGCAACTATGTATATCAGTTGCTGGGGAACATAGATAGGAGGGTGCTGTTGCATCCATGTCTTGCTTGCAGTTTTCCCTATGGATAGCTGATTGCCCATTGTGTGAACAGTATGCTGTACTGTATAGACCCTGAACCGGTCCAGCATAGCTCCTCTTACATTACAAGAAGCATAGAATAGTAGAGTTGGAAGGCACTAGAGGGCCATTGGGTCCAACCCCCTGCACCATGCAGGACCCCAAGTTAAACTATCCCTCTCAGAAGGCTGTCCAGTTGCACCTTGAGTGCCTCTAGTGTGGGAGACCCCACAGCCTCGCTAGGGAATTGGTTCCATTGTCCTAATATCCTTTGTGTTCCTTATACCCTAAGGTATAAGAATATGTGAAAGCAGAACTAGTACTAATGTGAAATATTGCAGACCTTTTAAAAGGAATAACATTATTTTTCCCCTATTAGACTTGTATGGAGGTATTGGAAGCATTGAATGATGGTAGCCTTGGAGACTGTAAAGAAGCAGCTGAAATGTACAGAGCAAATTGTCATAAGCTTTTCCCTTTTGCTTTGGCTTTTATGCCCCCTGGATATGAAGAGGATATGAAGATCACAGTTAATGGAGATATATCTGCAGAAACTGAAGAACTGGCCAATGAAATATGAACTTTTTTAAAAGAATTGAATGATTTTGGACTGTATCTGGTGTATAATATTTTTGTCACGCACCTGCTGAATTGTTCTAACCTACACAGAAAGTGGAAGGAGTAAAAAATGGTTGCCTTCAAAGTTTTACTTTTTTATCCTGCTGACAAAGTATATAATATAAAATAACGTATTACTGGATATAGGAGGCTCAGTTAAAGAAACTAAGCACTGCTAAAATTGAAAAAAATATCTCTTATCTACATACCCCATTTTTAAACTAATTTATATGGAATCTGAAGGCTTAACACCCATTGGAGCAGGTGTGTGGCAGAAATATTACTTTAAATTTATCTTGTTGAGATGACTATCTCAGACAGCAAAATGCTGTTTTAGCACTGGATCCTTTTCACTGAGCACAAAGAGTTGTTGGGGCTTAAGCATCTGACTGATTTTGATACAGAGACGATTCTACCCTTTGGAAGTATGCAATGTGAATCACTATTTGCAAACAAACCTGCAACACATACATAATGTTGTTGCAGAGACTGGGACTTAAAATACAAAGCAAAATAACGAAACATAAGGTGTTCAATAAGCTTGTTGTGTCTCCGAAATTCACTGCACATGATCAGTTTGGTGTTCTTGCACCACAGTTTTTAAATGAAGGAATTGGTTAGAATATTCTCTTTGTTTTAATTACAGTTTGAAAAGAGATCAACTCTGCTGTTCAGGAGATCAGCATGACAGCATTGTTTGGCTAAACTTTTTAAAACTGTAATGCAAGAACCTAATGAAATTATGCACTGTGATGTGGCACCAACTCAATAAAAAGACAGCATGTGTTTTTCACATATGTTGAAAATATAAATGAACCTAACTACAGCTTGAAATTTCAAAGAGGAACTCCTGGCTACCAATTTGTGACTGATCAAGAGACTAATTGTTTAAAACCTCAGCAGGCCTTGTTCATGTTATGCAGAAAAATGTGCTGCAGTTTAGATACCTCTGGAACTTTTCCACAGTGTCACAGGTTTGTAATACTTGAAGCCCTACATTTGTAAGAATATATTTCTTGCTCAGTTGTTTCAGGCAAGCCCATGACTTTGTAACTTTTAACGGGCCCAAGATTTTTTTTCAATAACAGACCAGCTTCTTATTCCTGCAGTTAAAGATGTAATTTCCTTTGTTAAACATGAGGTACCAAATATAAATGCAATAAAATGTTTTGAAAAAGAACTGTGTGACTTTAGAGTTTGAAAATTGCTGTCAGAAGAAGTGTACAAGACCTATGTGGCATATTAATTAGTATAGTCGGTTATATTAGTGTTGGTGAAATCCCACAATGCATAATGCAACTGTGCTTTGAGACACTACTCCTTCCTGCCCTCCATCTGCAATAGAGCTAACCACAATGGCTGCTGTTGTGGACAGTAATTTCAACCTTTGCAATAATGGTTCTTAGACTTAGTGGTAACACTTCTGCAAAATTTAAAATCTTTGTGAAAAGTACAAATTAAAGGAGAACTTGAATTGTCTAAAATTTTGGGAATAGAAGTATAGGAAATTATCAACTCTATTGCCAATCTGAGAAACCTGGCAGTTTGCACTGTGGTTTTCATTGTTGTACATCTCTTAAGAGAGATCATTACTCTTTCTGTGAAACAAAAAAACATTTAAAAACTGACATTATTAATCTAGAACCTTGCTCTTTTTGGCATATGTACATCTCTGAACAAAAAGTTTGCTGTGACCTTGTGTAAACCAAAATTTTAATGGGTTGCTCTAAGAAAATAATTATTGGCTAACAGATACTGTGTCAACTACATTGCGTTCAAAACAAGTCTGTAACAATATAAAGTTGCCATATCACTAAGGTCTGCAGATAGGTAATTTATTTTCTTAGTGATGTTTTTTCTAACATAGCCATGTTCTCATACAGAAGTCCATCAGGAAATGGGTCATGGAGGCCACACTGAGATAGTTCCATCATATTTTTAGATAGTAACCATACAAAGATCGGTGTGCTGAGCTTAATGTGCCTTCTTTTATTTTCCTACTGTGATAGTGGATAGTAACTTAAAATTGGTCAGATACAGGTATTATAACAGATGTTTCATCAATTTTGGCTTTTATTTTCTTTGCAGTTGGGATGGAGCTTCATCACTGTATGGGATGGCTGTAGAACTCTGCATTCTAAGAACATTATTTTTCTTGGTACAAAAATTGCAACACACGTAACACGGTTACTGAGCAATCCAGCTTTAATGTATTAAAACTACCCATTGTTTTTTCTCATAATTCAGCTAGTGAGCATGGATATTTGAAAGTTTCAATGGGAGGGAGGGGTGACAGCAATAAGTGTCTTAACATGAAAAACCCTACATCTAATTATGTTCCTGAACTACAGCTCTGATGTGTGTTGTTATGGTAGCTTGGTACAATTCATGTTTAGAAGACTCTTGGGAAGCTGCTAAGAAGTTCTGATTAGCCAGTTTACCACCAAGGTAAGACCTATATACTAATTTTGGCAGGGTGGAGGAGTGATGACCCTTCTTCATTGAGGTTCCTGCTGGAAACACAAATGGGAGAAAAGGTAGACAAAAACATTGTTTTACAAAGTTCCTGCACACAGACTACTTTTAGATTTTACTTGGTTTCAGCAACTGACCTCTGCAGTAGAAAGGCAACACTCTCCTGAAGGGTTCAATCCAGATGTTCGGCAAGAAACAGCTGGCATAGAACAGCTAGCAACTTGGACATGAAGTCAGTGTCCAGCAACTGGCATGCAGAAGCATGCAGATGTGAGAAGTACTAGTTAACCATTATGCCCAACACTTATTGATAACATTTTTATCAATCTATTTCAGCCCTCACCTCAGCAAGTTATCTGTGAATTAGCATAAATTACGCACCGTATGAAGGGCTTTTTTCCCCTCTCTTGCTAATCGTTTTCACTAGATGCCTCCCAACTTAAGCTCTCGTATGGAGAGAGAATGCATAATGCCATACATTTTCTGTAAGCCATGCATAATTTTTCAGGCTACTAGCATGTCCAGCCCTCTTCCTCCAATAAGTCGTCTGTCTCGTGGGGTCGCGAAGAGCCAGTAGCCTGTGGCAGGTGGCTGTAGCGAGAGGGGAGAGTTACACCCTTAAACTTGCCCCAGACTGGTCGGTGTGAGACTACGTTCTCACGCTCCTTGGGCGGAGGGCAAAACATGGAGCAAGATCGCGTTCAGACACTCTCAACTCTTGCTTCTCGCGTTCTTTCGAATGCGCGTCCGGCCTCTTCAGGCAGGAGAGGGCCGGGCCTCGGCGCTTCCGCTCTCAGATTGGCCTTTGCCGAGGAAGGGGCGCGGCCGTGCCGCCTACGTGGCCGCCGCCTCGTCGCGGGGCGGTGGGGAAGGCGGGAACAGCGGGCTGCCGCGAAGCGCCCTTCAAGGCGATGGGGTCGCGCACCCCGAAGCAGCCCGGGTCGGCCGCGGGTGCTGCGCATGTGCGCGGGCCTTCGTCTCCCCGCGGCGACTCCCTGCGCTGGCTGGGCCCGAGGGCTGAGTAGGGCGCGGCAGACGCGGGCCGGCGGCGAGGGGTCCCTCGAAGGCCCCGGCGATGGCGGGCGAGGTGGAGTCGTCGCTGGAGTTCAGCCTGTCCAGCAGCGGCACGGTGTCGGGCATGCTGCCTCCGCCCCGCTCCCGCATCTTCAAGATCATCGTCATCGGCGACTCCAACGTGGGGAAAACGTGCCTCACTTACCGCTTCTGCGCGGGGCGTTTTCCGGAGCGCACCGAGGCCACCATCGGGGTGGACTTCCGCGAGCGCGCCGTCGACATTGACGGGGAGCGAATCAAGGTGCGGCCACCTGCCTTCTTCCTCCGAGGGCCCCCGGGGCTGTGCGGCGCCCCGTCTAGCCCATACGTGGTCGCAGCCTGCCCGTCTGGGCCACCGGTCGCTCTGCCTGGGCTGACTCGGGGCCTTCCTTTGGTGCAGCCTTGCCCAAGCAACTCCCCCCCCCCACTCCCCGCAGTTCCCCACATCCTCAGACAGCATCCTGTCTAGGAGGCACCAGGTTGGGAAAGGCGGCTGAAGTGCCTCGTCAGAGTTTGGGGAGAAGTCACTATGTTTGTAGCAGATGAGAAGCTATAATTTGCTTCGTTTTTGTTTTCTAAGGCCAGTATAACTGACATCAAGCACTTGTGAATATTCGTTATATAGGAAATTTTTCCTTATCACTGTAATGGAAAAATACACTTACCTTTTATATATATCCCCATTATTGTAAAATGGCTAGTGATGGCTTTGATAGGGTGTTCTTCATGAAAAGTACAGTTCCTGCTACAAACTCTTAAGCTTTGGTTCCCCTGACATAATATAATCTAATTAACCATGGTTTGTTGAATTGTTCTGTGCAAACCCAAAACTTGAGTTAACCAATTGTTAACCATAAACAACAAAATCCATGGTTTGTTGTTTGAACTATGGTTTGTCATTACATGTGATCTCAGAATTGATGGTTTTTAATGAGTTGTTTCAGCAGACAACAGAGGCAATAAGCAAAAACTAAAACAATCCAGCCTCAGTGCATGCCAGTACTGCTGTGTTGCAAAGGCAGTTGGGATACAGCAGGAAGTGGGCCAAGGAGATGGGAAACAGCTCAAAGATTGAGAAAGGGTTCTGTGTTTTGTTTGATCAGCTGCTGCATAAACCCTGGGTAGGGCTGCAAATCATGGTTTAAATAAACCGTTAGTATTTGTGTCAATCACACCCATTTCCGAGATGCAGAATCCTAATCTATAGAAACGACAAGTTTGATTATTTGAAATTGGTATTTAAGGGAAAGTAACATCTAAACAGTGCTTAGAGGAAACTTGTAGAAACGTGCATTTATCTTAATGTATTAATTTTTATTGAAAGAAGTAATTACTAACACCTGACTGTCTTTAAAATATTTCTAAAAACCTTCATGAAGAGAAATCAAAGCTGCAGGAAAGTACTGCCTTATTACAGTAAAAATTGAAATAAATTCTTGTTTCTTCTTTCTCTCTCCCACCCCCACCTGCACTACTCTAGATTCAGCTCTGGGATACAGCAGGGCAGGAGCGGTTCAGGAAGAGCATGGTACAGCACTACTACAGAAATGTACATGCAGTTGTGTTTGTATATGATATGACCAATCTTGCCAGTTTTCATAGCTTGCCACTGTGGATCGAAGAGTGCAAGCAACACTTGCTCACCAATGATATACCCCGGATTTTGGTTGGAAACAAATGTGATTTGAGGAATGCAATTCAAGTGCCTACGGACATGGCTCAGAAATTTGCTGACACTTATAGCATGCCACTATTTGAAACATCTGCTAAAAATCCTAATGACAATGACCACGTGGAAGCCATATTTATGACACTGGCTCATAAGCTCAAGAGCCACAAGCCACTCATGCTTAGTCAGCCTTCTGCTAACACAATTCATTTAGAACCTGCATCAAAACCTGCCATGACATGTTGGTGTTAGTTCATAGTATTTTTGTAGTCATCTTGTTTTATCTGCCAGTGCATCAAGAGTGTAATGTTGGTGATGTTCCAGTTTAGTAGGAATAACATTGAATCACCTGGGCACTGTCCTCAACAAGAGTGTGTTGTGCTCTTGCATTTGCACTTTGTAAACTCTAGCATCTGAATTAAGTTAGGTGGAAATTAGATTTCTCAAATGAAGTTTGACCCCTGATCCCATTAAGGTAGATTAGTTTTAAGATCTCTTATCCGCTAAACAAAGATAAATATGTATTTTGGGGGAAATCACTGATGCCTTTAGTATTCTATTTGAGCAGACAAAAGTTCTAAAAAAAACCCCAAAGAGTATTATGATACGATAATCTTTGATAAATGGATTAGTGAAATGTATGCTCTGTTTCCAAGCACTGGAAGGAAGGTTCAACATCAGTGCTTGTGTTAGGAAGCCTCCTGCATTCATTTATTATTTTATTCTATATAGATCCATTGATTACAGAAGTCAGTGATAATTCACAGCATGTTTTTCTGCCTTGAGTTTTGGTTTTATTGTCTTCATGGCATAATTCCATAAAGTTATACTCTACTGTGTGTGTGTGTGTGTGTGTGAGAGAGAGAGAGAGAGAGAGAGAGAGAGTGAGAGTGAGGGGGGGACAGAAATGTGATGGGAAGAAGTGGGATTGTTCCAGAGTATCATGTTATAGCAAAATGGAAGAAAATTTTGTGAATCTAATGCAGCTTGAAAATTTTAACTAAGCTTGTATATTGCTGCTGTAACCACAGCGATAGTATTCTTTCACAAATGGCATTGCTCTGGAGATGGAGTCATCACTAGACTTATCAAAGCTTATTGCTGAAATTGTACTTAGACCTTTAAAAACTCCAAGGCAGCAAGAGAGGATGTAGCCACAGATCCCACTGTGCTGTTCCTCTGGGCTTTTGTTTCTCTTCTCTTGCTTCCTGATGCTGGGCAAAACTGGAGGTCAGAGTGGGTGAAGAAGAAGGTGAACAAGCGGGCCAGGGCTCACTTCCCTTGCTGTTTTGGAGCTTTAAAAAGACTTGTACATTCTTTGGGTTAGACAGGTATTGGTCTGTAGCCTTTGTAGTCTTACCATTCTGACATAACATGGTGCTTTAATAGTATTAGCAACTAAATACTGTATAGCATCCAACCCAAATATTGAGACTGTATTCCAGACAAATATGTTTAATAAGAGGATGCAAGAATGAGAAGCAAACTTTAAACTAAAATGGTTTAGGATTACAGGGTCAATCCTACTAATATTCAGTGATTTGTAAATATAAACTCTGTGAACAAAACTGGAAGAAGAAATGTTAGTCTGTATGACTGATCAACTGGCTGTATTTTCCTTTTAAAATAGCCTGAAACAGAAACAACTTCATTTCATGATCAGTAATACAGAAGGAAGTTACTACTTGTGTGCCTTAGCTGTTAAAATATGGAGGGGAAAATCGGTATCAGATAGTATTTTTTAGAATACACAAAGGCAACTGTGCTTCCTTAGATCAATCTGCATTATGCATTTTTAGGACTGGAAATATGACAGATCTGGCTTGATGATTTAGCATGTACATTTTTCTGACATTCTGATTGTCTCTTCTTTCTTCTCCTGCCAAAACTATCAGAGCCATGCTGCCTATATCAAAGCAGGGCTAGGCTGTTTTGTGATTTTTGCATAATGTGCTAGTTGTATGAGTGCAAAGCCTAAGGCCTTCCAGTGCTGTGCTTTCAGCAAGTAGAAATCATGGTGCATGTCTTGATCTCCTTGCACAAATAGACCTCCGTGTGTTCAGCTATGTTCCCACTAAGCAAGACTATCACCAATTTCTTTCTATTAAAGAAATTTCTAATATGTATAAGTTTCCATTAACAAGTTAAATTGACTAAACTTTATTTTGAAGGGGAAAAGCATACATTCTTTGTTTTTAGATAATGATTGACACCATCTTAGGAAAGACACTCTCCCCTTCATGAAAGAGAATGGGGATTCATGTTCATTTCACTTAACTGTTTTCCTTCCCTGTGGAAACTCAAAGCGGCTAATAATAACATGAATATATCTTTAGATTATGCCTGCTAGTTGATGTTTTAATCTGCCACTTGTGAGTAATGTAAATGTAAGTTGCACAAGAGTTGCTCTTAACTCTCAGTTATTCATTACCATTAATGGGTAGTGCAATTCTTTTGCTCATTCATTTATGGAACTCAATGTTTTACACCTGTTCTAGATTTCATATTTCATGATAGATCACATAGAATTCTCCATTGGATTTTATTCAGAGGAAATGGAATATCAATATTATATGTTAACACTTAAAGAACAGTTTCCTAAATGTAGTTTGTTTATATTATATTCACTGTGTTGCTGCTGAAAAACTAAATCTGAGCGTCTTAATCAAGTTTTTAACTTTTACCATAATGTGACCGAAGGCAGAACAAGTTAAATGTAGTTATCAGACAAGAGAAAACAGACTTTCTTCTGTTACAGAGTAGTGCAGTAAAATATAAAATAATAGCTTATAGATTTAGGAATATATATTGATTGCACCTTAAATAGAGTAAAATGCAGGGAGCACAATACACGTGCATAGTGGGCCAAATATTTAAATGGAGTGTGTCTAGAATTTTTAGCTAGTCCTTTCTTTTTCTTTGCTTATCACAATAAGTATAACAGGGTTTACCAGTTTAATTTTTATAGAACACTTGAAAAAGGGATTTTTTAAAAAAAACCTGCTTTAACCCTTAATTTTAAATTGGTTAACAATGTTCCAAGAATAATATATTATTTCTACTTCTAAGTGTCTTCAATTATTTTTAATGAATGTTCTTAAAAACATTTTTTTTTCATATTTGGTTTACACTTTAGAGGTCTCACTTGTTTACTTTTAGATTAAGAAAATGAAGTAAAAGATAGATTTGAATGCAAATGTAATAACACTGCGTGTTTGTACATTTTGTCATCTCTTAAAGCAAGCACAAAAATGCAAGATTCTGTAATAATGAATGCAAAATTGCAGAAGAGTAACACTGCAGTCCTGCATATAGTTACCTAAGAGTAAGCGACGTCAAACTCTGTGGGGCTTAGGTTGTAGGATAGGATTGCACTGACAGCCATGGAGGTGCAAGATAGGAACACAGCAGCAGCTCCTGGTAGCAACTACCTGTGAAATCGATGTTTTGAAGCTAATAGTATATTATCATTTTGTCATACGATTTTGTAATACAGCATTTGGCTTTGTAATATTTTCAGCAATAGTTATTTGATATCACATTCAAATCATTGTTGATGCACAGTTCTTCACTCCAAAAAATCAAATTTATTTTAACTGTTCCAAAATGAAGGATTTTTCTGTGTCTGTCAAAATAATCATACTTTGCCACTGTCTTAAATTAATAAATGTTAGCAAATACAATTATTTTTGCTTCCGTTTTCCCCCCACAGTATTTGACTGTCTGCTGGTATGAATAAGGGACAAGTTTGTACTCTGACATTGCAAGTATTTTGAGGATTTGAGTTTTGTCAACCTGCTAAGTATAAAGATTACAAATACTCTCAGTGTATTAAATATGAATCATGTATTAAACACAGATTGTGTAGGATGGTTGATCCTACAGGTGTGGGTAAAATATATTTATTTTATACCCCTCCCTTTAAGTTAAATATACCCAGCATACTTATGGGGAATGAGCCTATGCTCAGTACGGGGGGCAGCAGTTGCAGTCTCCACTGATGCTGTAACTTGTTTCCTTTTTTCAGCCATCTAGATAAAATACCCAAGAGGGGGAGGGAAGGAGGCTGAGGTGCCAAGAGGAATCTGAAAAACTCATTAGTCCCAACCTCTTCCCCTACCTGCTCCCAGCGCACCCTTTTTTCTCTCCTCCAAAGTATATTTGCAGCTTTGGGGTACATCGCTGGCACAGTTCTTTCTGTGCAGGACACAAGATACAGGTGGGTGCTCAGCACAACAGGCCACAGAATTACACCCATAATTCTAATTCTAAAAAGTAAAATGGTAAAGGTAATTGTAAGGTAATAGCTAAGTTATAACAATCTGGGAAAGCATCATAGGGTTAAAAAACTTAGCATGACATTAAAAGTAATGTTAGTGCTTTTTTAAAGCCTTGGATATATTTCAAGCAGTGTGAAAAAGATAAGAACAGCAACCAACCCCTCCTAGGGGTGAACATTTTAAAAATGGGAAACTGAAAATATTTCAGTGGGAGTATCCCAGAAGTGAATTTCACATGATCTCAGTGAATGGGAAGCAGGTACATGGGTGATGACATGGGACTTACTATATTTTATGCGATAATTCATCAGATTCACTCAGCATTTATAAACAATCTGAAACGTACTGAAGGAGGCTATGTGCTTCTCACATAGAAGACAGTTCTGGAGCATTGTAGCTGCCAAGAGTCGGCTTCTAGTGGAAGCCAGTTTAGCTTCTATACAAGAATGACCTTTTTATCAGGACTTTATTATAATAAAGGACTGGAGCATGGCTTTACACTTCAGATATTCTGATGCAGTTGATATGTGCTCCTTGTTTTCTGTGTAGTATTTTTGTAGTTGAATGATATTTTTTCTGTCAACCTTGGGTAGGGAATGTCAGAGATTAAAATCTGAGGAAGGCGGCTAAGTGCAACTCACAGATTTGATTTTGAATAAGTTTAATGCTATGGAAAGGCAGATTGGTTGGTCTTTACGGTCAACTGTATAATCATGGTTAAAAGGAAACGTACGACAGGTTTGCCTTAGATAGGTTCCAGTGTACATGAACATTTTTCCTAGTGGGGGAAACATGGCATCAGTTTTTGTAGTAAAGAATTTTAAGCTATATCATGGATAAGTGCCTTTTGGCTAAGTCTCCTTCCTTGAATGACAGACAGCAAATATTTATAGATGCCTACAATGATAGTTTAAGCTAGGGGTGCAGAAGCTTTGTCAACCCAATAACCAGATTCCATTTTTGAGAAGCTCCAGGGATGTTCCATTAGTGGATGGGATGAAAGGTATAAAACATACCATTATCTCTAACTTAAAGCTCTTACTCTCCATAGCTAAGCCTTTGGACAGGCATTTCAACTTTTCAAAATACAGAACAAACTGCACAGAACCCAGGAAACTACCATATGATCAAATGAAAGAGGGTGTAGGGGGTTCTGCACCTGTTTTGAAGTTCTAGCTAGTCTAAGCTGTGCACAGGTTCTTGATTTATTTCCCACAGAATAAAAGAAAATTCACACAGGAAGATCACTGAACAAGTGCTGTAGCAACCGAACAAATACAATAGATACAGTGTGATGTCAAGTGTTGAAGAGCACTTTCAACCAGCTACTATTATTTCATAATATGTTTGTCATTAACTTCTTCAGTACAAAACATCCAAGCAAAAAATTGTGGTATTGGGAACATTTCCTATGGTATTGGGTAGTGTTTAAACAAAATGTTGCAGCCCAGAGTGCAGGCAAGCAGCAGTATGGGTTTTATCCTTGTATTTGGATAGTTTTGATGGATAGTTTGTGAGGTCAACCTCCCTTTTTGGAAGCAAAGGACAGTGACAGTAACCTCCAAACCAGGCAGTATAACATGACATTTACCCCCTGCCCCGTCACAAACACACACAACCTTTTTTTCTGTCCGGCCAGCCTCATTGTGGTACTATACAGAATTAAAAGAATTCTCCTGAACTGAATATAATGGAGAATAGTTTTAGCTGTGTTCCTCTCACCCTGGTTTGGGAAGCTCCTGATTCTAACTTACTGAAATGACCAGAGGTGTAGCTACAACTCGAGGGAGGGCTGTGACCACACTGGAAGGCTGGTGATGGAGACGTGGCAAACGGGACCAGCATTCCCACCTGGACACTGATGGGCTCTTCCTGGAGCTTGACAATAGTGACATTGCTGTCACAACATACTACTTTTTAGAAATGATCTATAGTCAGGTCAGCTGGCCCAAAATGGGCATCAATACAGATGCTGCTTTTACTATATCAAATGCAAAACTGCACATACTCTGAGTAATCGTTTTTTTATTAAGATTGGCTGTTGTGCTGTTCTGCTCTAATTTGTCAGAAATGTAGAAGCAGTTGTAAATAACAGTGGTGAGAAGAGAAAGAGCTGTGCACTTCAGAAGCAATAAACTTGGCTGGCTAACTCCACCCCCAAAACTCAATTTCAGGGTCTAAACTTGCCTTGTTGCCCTACTGGAAGCGACCAATTTCTTTTCCTGTGTTATTCCTGTGAATAGAAGGTTCTTGCTTTAGTCGTCATTGGGGCATTCCATTGGCATTCTGTTTCCAGGGAAGGGCTTTGCAAAGGCACAGGCTTTGGGAACAGATTCTTCCCCTTGTATAAATTTTTAAAAGAAGTTATTGTTCTGCACTTCTGGAGAGTTCTCCACATAGTGCGAAACCCCCTACATTGTGGGTTGGTGCTGGAATCGTTGTTCCACAGCCTTGCTGGTTGATATAAAGCCACCATCTCAAGTATTAGTCAAAAAACATTCAAAGCAAATGTGGGATGCCTTGGATCCTACTATGCTGATTTGTAATCTCTGTTTTTGTTTTGATCGATGTTTTTTTCCTTAAGTTAAAAATATGTGCTATTACAGGCCTTCAGAATACTGTCCTTTATAAACTGAAGACCCAGTGATTTTTTTTTTCTCTTTAGAGAAATAAAGCAGAATAAACATGCTGACAATAGGAGTGCTGTTGCTTGTGTTCATGGGTGAATTATTTCAAGTTGCCTACTCTGTATCTCTCTGTATTTGCCTCTAATATAAGTGTATGTGTATAAGTGCTTCCTTTTTAGGATGATTGACCTTTGCACAGCAGGGGAGACAGTCCAGTCAATCTTACGAAAAGGAAAACTGAATAGCCTTGGCAGGGAGGAAGAGAAAATTGAGATGAGTGGTTCCTAAGTCATAGAACCTGATATGTTATGTCAATATCATGGCATATCAAGGCAATAGGTAGTTGTGTTCTTTCCCTTCTCCACAAAAAAATAGCTGTTTATTACAGAGCTGTAAATGTATTAACGAATCCATACATATCTTTGTAAATCAGCTATGATTAAACAGATAAAGCATTTTACTCACCCAAGGGAGATTTTTTATTAAGGTCAGACAATTAATATTTACCTATTTTAAAAGCCTTGTCTCTTTTTTGGATCATTTATCTATTTTTTTTTTTTTAGATTAAGAACCTTTTCTTTTTAATGACCTTAGAATACACATGAAAGCTGCTAATCTATATCTCATTAATAAAGCACTAATCCCATTCAGAAACTAGGCACATAGATGCTAACCTGAAAAAATGGTGGTATGATCTGGATCAAGTCCCCTGAAGTCCCCTGGCTTCATTTGCCCTTTTCTGTACCTTTCTGCACTGGCAGCAAAATTAATATTAATGTACAATCCCCTTTCCCTTCTGGGCTTTCCCCAGTACAACAAAGAAGTCTTTATATGAAAGCCTCCTCCTACATACATATCTCACTTAAGAGATTTTTATTATAAAAATCAGTTATATATCCATTACACAGCCTGACACACACGCGCGCGCTATTCCTATTTATTTAGGAATAAATTAAAATATGTGAATGGGATGCAGTTTTCTGGCTGTAAAGGAGGTAGCACAGTAATCCTAAAACTTCCAGGATTATCTGTTCCAAAGAATCAGTAGTTTTTCTGTTATTCGAAGAACTGTACTAACTTCTCAGTATTCTTCATTTATAAAGGGTCTCTTAAAATGCATTCTGAAATACATTTAATGGAGTCGGATGTATGGTGGAGCTCTGCTTCTTTCATCATCTGCTTCCACATTTAGATCTGGAAATTTTACTGGAGAGTTAAGTACTCTATCTGCTTGACCTGGAATGAAAAACATACAGAGTGAAGCTAAGTCATTTGCACCAGAGCCAAATCACCTTCACATAATTCAGGGCACAATCAAATGCCCTTCACTGCAGGTACATGTAAGTCTCTGAACCAGGACACGTACAGGCATTCAGTGCATGGCTGCTGCAGCGTCTCACCCGACATATTTCTCCTAGACAGCCATTCTCAGCTGTCTAGATGAAATGCCAGCGTAGTGGAGGGAAGGAGGCAGATATGATGCAGCTGCAAAACAGTTTAAACTATCAGCCCCATTCTTCCCCACCCTGCTCCCCAGTATACTCATTTTCCTCCTCTCTGAGGCCCAGTTACACCCTCCAAAAAGGCAGCTCAGCTGGCATGGTTCGTTCCATGCTAGCTGTGAAGGCCAGAGCAGGGGCTCAGATGAGGCTCCAAATAATCCTATGCTTCTTTCCCAGAAAGTGTTAGGGAGCCATAGGATTGCATTCTTAGCTCATTTAATAATTCTAAAACTAAAATGAAGACCTACATACCAGGTGAAATATACATTAATTCAGCCATTTGTTGCTGGTCTTCATCAGTCTGTAGCCATTCCTAGAAGTGAGAGCATGAGAATGCTAAACTTTATGTACAAGAGAATCACACTGATATCAGAGTTTAAACATAAACCTAGTACTTCATTGTACTTCACGTTTTAGTTAATCAAAAGCAATTTCATTATCATAATAAAAATAAAACACAAGACTGAGAAGAAACTCAACAGTCATGCATTTAACACAGAAAGTTTGGTCAAAAGGAAACAATTACATCACCACGCCCTTGCTCAAGTGCCTTTTTTATCAGAATCAGTTATGGGGAAGGCCTTTTCAGTAGTGCTGCCTACTTAAAGAGGTTTGTTTGGTGCCTACTTTAGCAGTATTTAGATACCAAGTTCAAGCATTCTAATAAATTCACCTGGGGATTTAAAGTATATATGATGCTTCTGTATTGTCCTGTGACTGTATTTCCTGCCTCTTATACTGCTATCATATTATGATATTGATACTGCTTTTACTGTTCTCTGACCAGTTTCAATTGTGTTAATAAGCTTACAGATTATTCATTTATTTTCAAAACCAGTGGCACAGCTCAATGTGCCATTTCAGTAAAATGCTTTGGAAAAGCCTGTGCACCCTGCGTATTCATTAGGTCTGACTATTTGAACAGGAGTGGGGAAATACAATAACTTCAGCATTAGGAAGATATCCAAATGATGATCTTGCTACTTACAAGTCCAGTAACACTGTCATAGCATGAACAACATGGAAGGCTTCGGCAGCTCACATAAAAAATAATCAGCAGAGTAAAAAGACTAAAAATAGATGCAACAAGCATTGTGATGTTGGCTCCTTCTACAAATTTATCAAGCAGAAATACCTGCAACACGAAATACAGAAAATGTGCATTGAAGTTTAATTCGACCTTAGTTTCTGATTTTTTTTAAGGATAGCATGTCTTTACTGTTAACGTGGGTTTTAAAAAGCTATTTTTCTTTGGAGTGTCAGAAGATCACACCAACCCTGTCAAACTGAAATGTTCTAACCTGCTCCCTATCTTGAGATTATTGTTGTAAGAAGAATGTAGTGACAACCTAATTATAGTCACCATTACAATTTAAAAAAAATCATTAGATCTCACTCCACTCCTGTATTTTTATTTACAGTTTTTTTGACATTTCAAAAATGCTCTCTGGTCAAGTGAGCATTGTCTTATGTCTTATGCCAATTGTCTTATGGCTGGAGCAATAGGACCAGGGAAGATGAGGGGGTGAATTGCGATCTTAGCAGAATGCAGTAGGACAAAGTCAGGAAGTCAGGAAGACAAAGTCAGGAAGAAGCAAGGGTCAGATGCCATCAAGGCATAACAAAATCAAAGGCAAGACAGAGTTAGAAATAATTATCTGGCAAAGCCTGGTGGGTTCAAAGACAACGGCAAAACCAGGAACAGACAAGGCCAGATACCCAGCAAAGCATGGCAGGTCCAAAGGCAGCGGCAGAACAAGGAATTATTGAGGTCAGATACTGACAGAGAGCAGCAGGTCCAGAAGTGAAGGGATGTGAACATAAAGGCATCAGAAAAGCCATGCCAGATCAGACCTAAAGTCCATCTAGTCCAGCACTCCGTACACTAACAACTGCTTAATTTGCTCAGAAGCCTTTGGTGAAGGACTTTATCAAAAGCCAAAAGGCAAGATCGGTAACAAGCAAGGATCAGTTACCAACAAGGCATAGCAGAACCAGAGGCAAAGGCAAGGTCCAGAGGCGAGCTGAGGTCAGATCCCAGCAAGACAAAGCAGGGCCAGGAGCATGGTGAGATCAGAGAGGACAGAGGACAGATACCTGATGGGTCTGGAGCAGGCAGGGACTGAAGCATATCTGAGGGCAAGGCAGGGCTGGAGGCAAGCGCTAGACCCGTGATGTTGCAGGCATGCAGTGCAAGAAAGTATTTGATAAAGTCTCCCATTGCTCCCAGTCACACCATATGATTGCACAGACTCTAATCAGTGCACGTACCTACAGGTCTGATTCTGGCCATGCAGGCACTTGAAGGGCAACCCTGTGCTGCTCTTCACAATACCAAAGGCATTCTGTCAAGACTCCAGATCCTAACAGTATTTCCCCTCCTCAGGAAGGGGGTTCTACCCCCATTTGTAGTCCTGCTTGTCAGGATTAGTACAGTGTAAGATGCAGACCTGGCAGGGGGCTTAGTATTGATAATTTAGTTTAGCAGAGGTCTGGCTGGACCAGGTTTGGCAGGAGTTGCTCTGGAGGAACCATTGTTCTCTTCTCATTTTTACCCTAAACTATGTTCACAGGCTAAGTTTCAGGCTAAGGCTGTAAACCTGTACCCAGTTACCCAGGAGGAAGCCCTATCCAACTCATTGGAGCTTCTATGTCAAAAGTATAAGGTACTCATTTGTAATGAGCAGTCTTTCTTTTTCAAGAGAAAAATACTTGACAATTAAAAGTGCTCAGAAATATGCATCTTCGGAGAACCTTCACAGCTTCCATCCACACCTTTGGATGGATGCACTTTATGTATATGGATGCTCATTATCTGCATCTAGCCTGTATATATTACAATTGTTACCTTGCATAGATCACCTTTGATGGTTTGGGATAATTAGGTACAGTTTGCTTCTTATCTGCTATGCAATTCATCATGGTGAGAAGGGAATTTCCTTCTTGTTCCACCTACTAGCAAAGGTTGATGCTTATCTATGTTTGGTTTCACTCTATATGCAGCGCTAGGGATTAAAGGGCATAGAGCTATTTGACTTGTACATGCTATCTTTTGCTGTAGCAGTGTCTCAGCAAATGTAACCTGTAATGAATACCAAGCAATGCTTACAGAAGGGTAGGAACTTAATAGATCACAGTTTTCACAATATTTGGTACTTACTCTTACTGGATGATTAGAGGACACATCACTGATCCCTTTGTATTTTTCACCATATTCTAATGTTACAGAGGCATAGATAATTACAAGTAAAGTAGTGAAGCAGGAAAATATAGAAGCAATAATCATTGCATTCACCTGTACAAAAGGCAAGGGCAGAAGGCAGAAATAAAATACATGTTAAGAAATCAATTGGTGTCTCCAATAGTGAAAATAAAGCCAAGAATGCTTCAAATGTCACTTAGGTATTATCACCCATCATTGTACTCTGCAGTGAGTTGATTCATTCTCCAAAGGAAATTTATCTTCAAATTCAATGCCTGGAGTGCAAGTGTGAGGCAGTCAAAATGAAGCACACATGTTAACTTTCCTACACTGCTTCAGTGGGACTCATATTGCTTTACTGTGGCAATAATTCGCCCAGTTTTTAAGGGAGTTTGTGTAGGAATCCAAAGGTGTTTACTGTTTGAAACCTACCCAGCTCCATTTAAAGTGGTGGCAATTAAATGATGATCAGGTTGCTAGGAAGAATGTATCACAAACCTCAGCTAAAACAGCAAACACTGAATTTGGGCAAACAGCAACAAGAATGTTAAGGGCTGCCAAAGAGTGGAAGCATGCTTAGATACTTTATTTTCCCTTATTTACATTTTTAAAATTTGCAAAATTTACTTTAGAACTATCTGTACCACTTTGCTCTAATCCACCCAATTGCAGCAGCATGGAGGTTGGGAGAAGAGAGGAGTGTCTGGTGAGACAGTGAGGGAAAATTATATTGCTATTTGGATTGTCCCAACTTTAAGATGCTATCCAATCTACCTAGACTCAATGCACCTTACTTCTGAGTCATCATGGATAAGATTACATTGTGAATATACTATGGATTTTTAGGCTCTGAGCACCACAAGGTTATACTTATAATACATTGGGTTAAATCCAAATGTAGCATAAATCAATTGAAATAAATGGAATATCTGATGCCTAACTTTAGTCCCTGTTAGTTTTCTGTAAAAATGACTAAGTCTAGATTTATTCCATTGTTTGTGCATGTGGCTTCAGGGGTATGACTTTCATTCTACCCAGATCCCTCAAAATAGGGCAAGGGTTTTGTTTTGTTTTGTTTAATTAAGCATTCTGAAAATATATAGATAAAATTTGTATTCATTCATTCATCCAATATGCTGCCCACTAGTCATAGGCTCTCTGGGTGGCTTACAACATATAGACTAGGTATTGTTTCTACTAGAAATACCATAAGCTTACCAGAATTGGATTCTTTTTCTGAGAGGAAAATATAGCCATAACTCCAGGAACACTCATAAACTGAAAAACAAAACACAGTGAAAATGTCAATTCTTTTAAAACCTTTATGAGTCAAAATCTTTAGTTTCACCAAGATCAAGATGAATACAGGCACTTTTCTGACATTTCATTAAATTATTTAAGTACAGTGTGAACAGATTCTGGGCAGCAAACTGGGAAACATTAATTCTTTGTGTGTGTGTGTGTGGGGGGGATCTTTAATGAAATGGATGCATAGCATTATGCTGAGTGTTTGACTAAGTAGCCTCTAAGCCATCATTTCCTGATCAAGACAGCAGGTCTATAAAATGCAGGTATGTGCTGGCCAATATTTTATTCTACAGGAGGTGATTACAGAAGGTGAGATGGTTTTGGAAAGGGACATGATTATGAAACAGCAAGGGAAGAAGTTTGTTCTGCTACTTATCAGATCAGGGATTCCTGGTCAAAGATTCTTGGTCAATTGT